TGGCATGGCCTGGGCCCCCCTGGCCTCACCCTGCACGTGGAACTGGAGCCACTTCACTCCATGTCTCCTCTCCGGCCTATAACATTCAGGCCGATGGAGTTACAGGTTTTACTTAAGTTTTTGTCTAGTTTCTTGGATGGACTAGATCCATCTAGGTGCAGCCTAAGTTAATAAATACTGTTTTTATGTGTCTTCACGTTGCCATTATCATCAGTGGGGGGCCCTTACCGTCCCGTGTGGCGGGAAAGGAGGCGGGACGCTGAGCCGACTCCGGCGTCAGGCTGCCTGGGCCCCGCCCGCCTCCGCCGCTCCCCGTGGAACCGTGAACACACTCATCTGCTCACTTGGAGGAGCGGAAAGCACTTAGCACAGGGTCTGCTGTGAGGGAGTGTTCAGTAGATATCACAATAGAGAAGCACAGCGCTCTCCCACAATGCAGTGCACACTCCCACCACACTGAAAAGTCAAATGGACAAGGTTGATTTCCTTTGTTATCCACACCCTGAAAATCATAACCTTATTAGGTTCTAAAATGTAAGACTTTGAAACGCTTTGGGAATTTTCTCTCACAGAAAGAGAGAAGGTGGAAGAGGTCCCACCTAAACCACAAAGCAATGAAGACCCGGCGCTGGATTACGAAGAGTGGAAAAGGAAGATTCTGGAAAACGCTGCCAGAGCACAGGAGGCTGGGGCGGAGTGAGTGCGATATGCTGACCGTGTGCCGCGCGCCTGCGCTAGCAAAGGTGCCAGTGCCCAGAGTGCTGCTTCTGCTTTTAGGACAGGACCCTCGGACCGCGCCGTGGGGGCAGGGCACCAGCCCGGGCTGTTCCGGGCAGCAGGCTGGCCCCTGGTGTGGGCAGCATTCACCAGATCAGCCACAGCCCCGGTTGGCATGGCCTGGGCCCCCCTGGCCTCACCCTGCACGTGGAACTGGAGCCACTTCACTCCATGTCTCCTCTCCGGCCTATAACATTCAGGCCGATGGAGTTACAGGTTTTACTTAAGTTTTTGTCTAGTTTCTTGGATGGACTAGATCCATCTAGGTGCAGCCTAAGTTAATAAATACTGTTTTTATGTGTCTTCACGTTGCCATTATCATCAGTGGGGGGCCCTTACCGTCCCGTGTGGCGGGAAAGGAGGCGGGACGCTGAGCCGACTCCGGCGTCAGGCTGCCTGGGCCCCGCCCGCCTCCTCCGCTCCCCATGGAACCGTGAACACACTCATCTGCTCACGTGGAGGAGCGGAAAGCACTTAGCACAGGGTCTGCTGTGAGGGAGTGTTCAGTAGATATCACAATAGAGAAGCACAGCGCTCTCCCACAAGGAGGTCACAGTTTGATTCCCAGTCAGGGCACTTTCTCGGGTTGTGGGTTTGATGCCCAGTACAAGAGGCAGCCGATAAATTATTCTTTTTTCTTTTTCAAACATTGATTTCAGAGAGGAAGGGAGAGGGGGAGAGAAATACTAGTAGAAACATCAGTGATGAGAGAATCATTGATCGGCTACCTCCTGCACGCCCCCTTCTGGGGATCAAGCGCACAACCCAGGCATGTGCCTGACCAATATCAAACCCAGGACCTTCAGTCCCAGGTGGACACTATCCACTGAGCCAAACCAGCTAGGGCAGATAAATGATTCTCTTCATTGATGTTTCTATCTCTCCCTCTCCCTTCTCTGAAATCAATGCATTTGTAGTACATGGTGGTAATTGATTATGTGGATCACAGTAGGTACGTGGTTACTTCTTAAATTTGCCTCAAAGCAACCTTGTCCAGATGGGCAGGAATTCTTCAGCTAAGTACACACACCAACCAAGTAGAGAACTAAAAATAATCCAGGAAAATTAAAGCTTCGTAAAGGCTTCAGAACATCAGATAAGGGAGGCGAAAATCCATAGTCCCTCTCACGGTGTGAGCTTCCAGGGGACGCTGGAGAGGAATTGTTCTGGTTAAAAATAACAGCAGCCCAGCCCCTGGGCTCAGTGGCTGGGCGTCATCCCATGAACCCAGAGGTCACAGGTTTGATTCCTGGTCAGAGCACATCACATGCCTGGGCTGCAGGCTTGATTCCCCACTAGGGGGCGTGCAAGAGGCAGCAGATTGATGTTTATCTGTATCCCTCTCCCTCAAATCAATAAAAAATACACATTTAAAAAAGAAAAAAAGCATATGGGAGAAAAAAATAAAATTTGGTAGCTAAAAGATTCTTTATTTGCCCTGTCCTATACAGAAGCTGCTAACCACACGTGGCTATTAAGCACTTAGAATTAGCTCATACAACTACAGAAAATTCCTAATGTCATTTTAATTAAATGTCACACAACCTGAGTCTGTTTCCGCAGTGAGTTTATGAAATCTGAGCAGGTAGGTCTGAGGAAACCCAGCCCGGAACGGAAATGTGTTTCAGTGTGACCCCTGCGCCGATGGTGGAGACTTAGGAAATAATAGTCGGAAGGGCCTCAGTAATGGTGTTTCTGTTGACCACATACCAGGTAGCACTTCCGATGTGCTGTGTTCAGTAAGTCACTGAAATTCCTTCACCGGGTTTTCCCTGTGAAAGGAGCTGGAGAGATGTCCCCGGTAAGTGTGGCTCGTGTTAAACTTCTGGGAGACTTTGCTGCTGTCGTTCCAGGGAACTCACTGCGTTGTTCTGGGGACAAGACTGGGAGCATCGCCAAGAAGCCGACCGCCCAGGGGCTGAGGCCCACGACCCGCTAGCACTGAAAGGTGTGCTCTAGGGCGCCGTCCACAGGCTGCCCGCGAAACAACATCTCTCAGAGGTGACTGCTGCTTCAAAAGCCAGCACTTGGCCAGGTAAGTCCCTGTTCCTGCCTCATGCGAGGCAGGTCTCCTCTTCCAACGGTCACCCCCTGGCCAGCGGGCAGCAGGCCTGGACATGCTGGCCTTGGGAACCTTAGTTCCCGGCCAGACCAGGCCCCTCCCCACGCCCAGGTCTTCTGCCAGAAACAAGTCTATCTGGACAAAAACCCTCAAAGGCTGTGACACCGCTGCTTGGCTAATTAACACCTCACAGCCACGCCTCCAGCTGGAACCGCTGACCCGAGAGGTCGTGGGAACAGCACAAATCAGGTTAGAAGTGAGGAGGGCCAAGGACTGTTTGCTTTTAACTAAGAGTGTCTCCTGTTTGTCATTCCGTAAGGCGGTTAAACATGTGCCTTCGCTTCTCTCCACCGCGGAACGCGGCTGCACTCTCCTCTCCCACACTCACCAGTTTCCTGGCCCCCGATTCATACCTGAGGGGTGGGGTCAGGAGGGAGACGGCAGAGGTCAGCACCGGGCAGAACAGGAGAGGGGGGAGGTGGGTCGAGGCTTGAAAAGCACATTCCAACCCGCCCCTGTGGCTCCGTGACTGACCATCAACCCATGAACCCAGAGGTCAAAACACATGCCCGGGCCGTGGGCTCAGTCCCCTGTAGGGGGCATGCAGGAGGCAGCCAACTGACGCTTCTTTATATTATTATCATTTTATTTTATTGTTAGTCCTCACCTGAGGATATTTTTCCACTGATTTTTACAGAGAGTGGGAGGGAGAGAGACAGAAAAACATCGAGGTGAGAAAAACACATCTATTGGTTGCCTCCTGCATGCGGCCCGAGCAGGGCCGGGGACTGAACTTGCAACCAAGGTACATGCCCTTGACTGGAATCGAACCCAGGACCCTCAGTCCAAGGGCTGACGCTCTATCCACTGAGCCAAACCAACTAGGGCCAGCCAATTGGTGTTACTCTCTCTCTATTCCACTTCCTTCTTCTCTCTCTAAAATCAATAAAAACATTAAGCGCATTCCACTTGACCCTTTTCCTCTTTCAGCCATGACGGCCAGTGTATTTCAAAATTTCAAAGACTAACAAAGGAGGCACGTTTCCATTCTCAAAAGGGAGCACAAGTTAAACATGTTAGAGGATGGCGGCACACAGCGCGGGTCGGTCGGACAATAAATACAGCCTGGCCCAGCCCGGGGATCGGAGGGCAGGGCTTCCCTGTGCCCAGGGAGACCCGCGGGCCGGGGCCCTGAGCGAGTCCCTGAATCAGAGCACTCCGCATCCCACCCGCCACCTGCTCTCCTCCCCACACGCGCCCCCAAACCGGGTGCCCCTGACGAGGAAACAGCATTTCACACCCGCGGGCTCCCACGGCAGCGAAACAGTCCTGACGTCACCTTCTTCCAGCCGCGTGTCACCCACAGGGAGGCCCGGCCAGAACCTCTCACAAAGTTCCTGGAACCCGGCTGAGCCGGAGGCCAGTTATCTACAGCCTCCGGCACGGCTCGGCCCAGGGGGCGGTGGAGTCCAGTCCAGGTTCAGGGGCAGGTGGGAAATTTCCTTAACCTGTTGGCAGCAGTCACCGCGTGGAAATGTTTCTTGAGACCAGGAGAGAGAAAGAAGAGGAAAGAAGCAGAGCTTTAGACTCGTTGTTTTAAAGAGAACAATAAAAGGACGAAACACAAGTGAGGCACTGGGGCTCTTTACAACTGATCACCCAAAGGGGGAAACAAGATTCTAGCAAACGGCAAGTCGAACGGTCACATGACTTCCAGGGGCCAGCTGGAGCCAGGAGGACATGAGATCACGTGTTATCCCCAAAACAGAGCCCACCGGGGGTCACGAAATCAAAACAGGCTGCGGACCAGAATTTTTGGAGTGAAACCAAACGTCACAGGAAACACTACAGCACATCAGCCTGGGAAGCAAACGTGATCTCTCGTTTCGGGTGTGAGTACGTGACTGTCGCTCCTTCTCGGGCTAACGTGCTTTCTTTCTGGTTTGTTTTTTGTTTCGCTTTTTATGATATTTTTATTGATTTCAGAGAGGAAGGGAGATGTAAAGAGAGAGAAACAACAATGATGAGAATCATTGATCAGCTGCCTCCTGCACCCCCCCCCACACCCACCCACTGGGGACTGAGCCTGCAACTCAGGCCTGTGCCCTGACTGGGAATCGCACCATGACCTCAAATATGTTTTGGTCATAGGTCGACGCTCAACCAGTGAGCCACGCCGGCCGGGCTGTGTGTGTGTGTGCGCGCACATGTGTGTTTAACAAGGTTCTGAGTTGGTATCAAACTGTTGGAAATACACTTTCCTGCACAACAGCAGTTTGTAAGACAGACTTTACGTCCCTGGTACCAAAGCTCTGCTGTAAACAAACCACCAAACTCTGAAACAGAGCTTTCCGCCCCCATGTGACACGTGGAGGAATCCGGGGCCCCCAGCTGCCGTGGTCACTGAGCACTGTGCTCCGGCCTCATTCTGTCACCCCCAGTGTCCACGTAACACGGACTAAATGCCACCTCTACGCCCGTCACTGGCGTCTGTGGCATTTCTTCACCAAAACGAACAGTTTGGACATAAGAGGGTGGTTGTTGTTTTCGTTAAACAATCTTTCTATTTTGAATCAATTTGGGCATGGAGCCCGGCCGGCGTGGCTCAGGGGTCGAGCATCGACCTAGGAACTCGGAGGTCACAGTTCGATTCCCGGTCAGGGCACAGGCCCGGGCTGTGGGCTCCATCCCCAGTGTGGGGCGTGCAGGAGGCAGCGATCGATGATTCTCTCTCATCACTGATGTTTCTATCCTCTCTCCCTTTCTCTCTGAAATCAATAAAAATATTTTAAAAAGAAAGAAAGGAAGGAAAGAAGGAAGGAAGGAAGGAAGGAAGGGAGGGAGGGAGAGAGGAGAGGCACCTTCCACTTCCGCTGCGCCAGGTACTTCTGCAGCAGCAGCTGGGACCGGAGCCGCACCTGGGACCGGGACGCCTTGGCGGGCAGATGGCTCAGCCACGCGTGTTTCAGGCACTGGGTGGCGCTCATCCTGCAGCTGCGGAACCGAGGCCGGCGGTTAGCGGGTGCCGTCGGGTCAGAAGGCCGCACGCATGCGCGACTCGCAATCACGGTACCTCTTCTCTTTGACCAGCAGCTGGGACACGAAGTCCTTGGCGTCCTCCGACAGCCCCTCGAAGGTGTCCGCCTCGAAGTCCCAGCAGCAGTTCACGATGAAGTTCATGGTCTCGGCGTCGGTTTCCCCCAGGAACGGGGACAGGCCGCTGAGTCTGCGAGGACAGGGGACCGTGGGGACCGTAGGCGGAGGCCACGTCTGTCCACGCGGCGGCGGGACAGAGACGGTCCTGCGAGGCTCACGCAGAACCAGCGG